CAACATCATGTTCAGATCTCGAAGAGCACAAAAACAATACCCCAGTGAATTACAGAAAATTACAGAACCTTGGAAGGAGAGACTTCTGGAGATGACAGCACTTCCAAGAGGGGGGATATTCCAGAGATTGTTCCTCCCTCCTTCTATTAAGAGGCCCCATGTTGCATGCGTGTGTCGAAAGTTCCATCAAGTCGCCACTGACTCATGGCCACCCCTTCCTGGGCTTTACAAGGTGAGAGACGTTCAGATGTGGTTTGCCATTGCCTGCCTCTACGTAGCAAGCCTGGACCTTCCTTGGTGCTCTCCCCTCCGAACACTGATCAGGGTTGACCTTCCTTAGCTTCTGAGATCTGCTGAGATCAGGCTAGCTTGGGCCATCCAGGTCAAAGGAAGAGATGAACAGAGGTGGTTTTGCCATTGCCTTCCTCTGTGTAGCAACCCTGGACTCCCTTGGTGGTCTCCCATCCAAGTACTAACCAGGTCTGACCCTGCTTAGCTTCTGAGACATGACGAGGTTAAGGCCCCAGGTTGTACAGACGATTAAAAACCTAAATACTTTTGAGCGAATGAGACAGCATGACTAAACCTCTGACCTAGTTGTTGTTGTTCAGTCGCACAGTCGAGTCCGACTCTTCGCGACCCCATGGACCACATCACGCCAGGCCCTCCCGTCTTCCATCATGCCCCGGAGTTTGCTTAATTTCACGTTCATTGCATCAATAACACTGTCTAACCATCTCATCCTTTGCTCCCCTTCTTCTTTGAAGTGGTAGTGGTAGAAGTGATTAAAACATTTGTTCTTCGGGCCACCTCTAAGGGTTAGTGATCTTCCCATTATGTACAAGGAGGAGCGTCCTGTTTAAAAAACTGCACAGTCTTCCCTTGACAGAAGCAGACTGATACTCCTTCTATTTGCTCTCCTTCTCTAGGGACTACCAGAGCAAGACTGTGGTTTAATCCCTATGCGTTCCCTGTAGTGCTCTTTTGATAAATCTGCACTCTTTATCAAACCGCACGCCTTGGTTCTGAAGGGCCAGAGGTCTTAGAGCAAGGATTTTTATCCTTCTCATATAGAATGGGCAGTTCTCCCTGTGAAAAATACAGAGCCAAAACTTCAAAGCCAAAACGCAGATTCGCCATCCTAATATTAAGAATGAGAATCCCCCCTCCTTTTCTATTAATTTTCCATGTCTGAGTTTATTTCCAAAATCAGTGGGACCAGAAACTTAAACCCCCCCCAAAAAACATACATCGGTAGGATGTTCAGGGTTTCCAATACTGCCTGTGGGTTTATTCAGATTCTGCACGGCCCCCTGTACTATCATATACAAATGCAAGCACATAAAAGAACCATCAACCATTGCTTAAAGCCCCACCATGGGAGAGAGGCTTACCGGCAAAGAGCATTTTCCCCGTTAGCATTTCAGCTAGAATGCACCCGGCTGCCCACATGTCAATTGCTTTGGTGTAGTTGTTCGGCGAGAGGAGCAAACGAGGAGACCGGTACCATTTCGTCACTAAGCCTTCCGACAGGTAACCCTGAAAGGATAAAGCAAACGTCTCAGTTATGCCCTTGTTTGCCTAAATGTCTATAGAAATGACGCACTGTCCTCAGTGGACTATATACAATACTGTGCATTAGTTCAAATCAATATGCCAAATAAAACTCTTTCCCATCTCTGCACCTGGTACGCTCCCCTTCCAGGACGGTCGGCTCACAACACTGAAGGGAGAATAAAAGTCACAACTGACAAGAGTTCCCTGTTTTACACATCGCAGCGCCTCCTCTACCTGTCCTTCCCTCAGATTCCATGGCCTTCTCTACGATCTTCTTTCAGCTCTGTGGTCTTCCCGTGACAAGCTGTTTCAACTTCTGCCCTCCAAGAGCCTCAGATGATCACTTCCAAATATGAAGAAGAAGTAGAGATTGGATTTATACCCCGCCCTTCACTCAGAGTCTCAGAGCGGCTTACAAACCCCTTTCCCTTCCCCTCCCCACAGCAGACACCCTGCGAGGTGGGTGGGGCTGAGAGAGCTCTTTCAAGAGCTGCCCTTTCAAGGACAGCTCTTGTCGGAACTATGGCTTGCCCAAGGCCATCCGGCAGCTGCAAGCGGAGGAGTGGGGAATCAAACCCGGTTCTCCCAGATTAGAGTCCACACACTTAACCACTACACCAAAATATGGCGGAATGTAGGGTTGCCAGCCCAGGGAATCCCCCAATTTGGCAGGCCCCTGCCCGCTGCTGGCCAGCTGGCTGGCAGGGGAAGCCCCGCCCCCAACAGCCCCCATCCGGCGCAACGTCCCCAACGTGATGACTTCATGTGGAAGTGACATCATCATGCCGGTATTTTGGGCAAAACTCTATGGTAACCTCAATCTCAGTTTAAGCTGTTAGCTGCTATTCCACACTAGGGCCCCTGCCACACGGGGGGGAAAAACATGGGCAAAGTGCAGCTTTTTAAAGCCGCACCAAAAGAGACACGCGACGGCGGGATCATATAGATTTCCTGAGCCGCCGCGCACTTCCTCCCCAGCATGATCAGATGCCGGGGGGAAGCCACTGACAGGGAAGCGAGGCAGCCAAACTGCGCATGTGTGAGCATGCGCAGTTTGGCCGTGAGCCGGGATTGCTACAAACGAAGAGCACACCGGCAATCCCACGGCCACACTTGATGCGGTGTCCCAGGTAAGTCCTCCTTTGGGGGTGGTTCTTTTTTTACAGCGCGTTATTGGCCTGAAGGGACGGATCGGGGATGGGTGTGAGCCGATTCCCAGATGTTGCTGTGTGCTCGCGCCTGTTTGCTGCGCCCCCGATCCGTCCCTCTCCCGGGCCAAACTCTCCCGTGTGATCAGGGCCTAGCTCTGGCAAAGAGATCTTGCAGAATGTCGTGGGAGGGAACCCGAATGAAATAGTTCGTATGCTTCGGAGAATAGTATTTCCCTGTGGTATTGCTTTACATAACTGCTCACAGGAATTCTGAAGACCCTGAGATCTGAGGAACCCTCGTCCCATGATCCATCGTTCAGATTGTCGCAGCATTCTTTTGTTTTGTTTTGTTTTTCACCCATGCGCATAAGCATGCATCCAAAGCGCCAGCTCCTTTCTGACAGCTCCACAGTCCCTCTGCCAAGGACTCCAGCCCCTCTCAGCCTCCTCCCCTTCGCCTCTCTTCCCGCAGATTTCCATTAGAGTCGTCCCGCTGACTTCAGTATGTTTACCCTTGTGTCAATCATGGGATCCTCTCAGACGTTGACACAGAAACAGGAGAGAGGGGGTTTGGGGTGCGGGATCTGTCACTCAAAAACAACTCCCCCCGGGGACTCCCAGTCCAGAATGACTACTTGACCAAGGTGATTGTCAATGCCAGGGGCACTTATGCGCTTATGCAAATACCTCTACCTGATCCAAAAAAAGGAGGCAGAACTAGAAAGGAAGTTTCAGACTTCCCAAACAGCATGATTTTGCAAGAAGGGAGTTCAGACAGCCAGAAATGTGGAGTGGAACCACTGGCTTCTCTAAAGACCGGACTTCCCCTGGTACCTGATTACTCCGCTTCCAATGTGAGGCAAAGTGGGGTGCCGACGACCGGGGCACAGAAGGCAGATGTTGTTGTCTGACTGTGCTCTTTAAATCCGCAAAGGTAACGCGACTATACCGACACAGACGACTCGTGTGACCGCAGCCTAAATGTACCAACCGGTACTTTGCATTATACCCAGACACAATCACATCAATTGCAATTACTTTTTTTTAAAGCCCTCCTAAAACCCTCTGGCGGTTCAACAGAGGAACAATGCAGATAAAATGGTGGCTGGCAGAGGAACTTGCCCGGAAAACTACCATCTGGATGGTCCATTGCCGATGCAAATGCTGCTGCATTCACGGAAGCAATTAATGCGAAATGTAGAATGCGCGACACGTGGAAGCAACCTAGGTGACCTGGCTTCTCTAAAGACCAGACTTCCCCTGGTACCTGATTACTCCACTTCCAATGTGAGGCAAAGTGGGCTGCCGACGACTGGGGCAAGGAAGGCAGATGTTGTTGTCTGATTGTGCTCTTTAAATCCACAAAGGTAGCGCGACTATATCGACACGGACGGCTCATGTGACCGCAGCCTAAATGTATCAACCGGTACTTTGCATTGTACCCAGACACAATCACATCAATTGCAATTACTTTTTTTTAAAGCCCTCCTAAAACCGTCTGGCGGTTCAACAGAGGAACAATGCAGATAAAACGGTGGCTGGCAGAGGAACTTGCCCGGAAAACTACCATCTGGATGGTCCATTGCCGATGCAAATGCTGCTGCATTCACGGAAGCAATTAATGCGAAATGTAGAATGCGCGACACGTGGAAGCAACCTAGGTGACGCACAGATCTTTCTCCACGAGGCTGCGTGAAAAACAGCAAAGCCTTTGCACACCCCGCGAAACCCGTTCAGAATTCTCTTCTGTGAACTTCGGTCTTGAATATTCATCAGTCTCTAAGTGTGCTCTGAATACTTGGTATCTGCATCCCGTGTTCGATTTCAGTATCTGACAGAGGACATGGAATGGTGACGGCCATAGGACATTATGAAATCTCATGTTCCACAGTTGCCAAGAAAGAGGTGTAAAGCCCTCACGTTTAGAGGTCAGATTTTCAATGTAAATTTCAAATCCCAATGACTTGCAAATGGCCTTTACTTCTAAAGCCTATCACATCATTCTGTTTGTGGACAAGCAAGGTACACGAGGTGGTTCATTGCTTCCGGTCTCTCTGCCCTCTTCTCCATATATGCAATATTGCTACTAGTCGGGGGTGTGTGTGTGGACTTCTCCCAGAACGACAACTGAGCTCTACAGGGATCAGTTCTCCTGAAGGAAACAGCTGCTGCACAGGGTGGACTCTATATTTATGTTGTTGTTCTTGCTGTTGTTTTTATACCCCACTTTTCTCAACCTTAAAGAATTCCAAAGCGGCTTACAATCTCCTTCCCTTCCTCTCCCCACAACAGGCAACTTGTGAGGCAGGTGGGCCTGAGAGAGTCCTGAGAGGACGGGGACTGGCCCAAGGTCACTCAGCAGGCCTCCTGTGTCTCAGAGCGGCTGACCATCGCCTTCCCTTCCTCTCCCTACAGCAGACACCTTGTAAGGCAGGTGGGGCTGAGAGAGCCCTGAGAGAACAGTGACTGGCCCAAGGTCACCCAGGAGGCCTCACGTGTCTCAAAGCGGCTTCCAATCGCCTTCCCTTCCTCTCCTCACAACAGACACCCTGTGAGGCAGGTGGGGCTGAGACAGCTCTGACAGAACTGTGACTGGCCCAAGGTCACTCAGCAGGCACCATGTGGAGGAGCGGGAAATCAAACAGGGTTCTCCAGATCAGAGCCTGCCGCTCTTAGGCACTACACCATGCTGTCTCCCTATAGCGTCACATCCCTGCTGAGCTCCCCCCCCAAACTCCGCCTTCCCCAGGCTCCACCCCCAAATCTCCAGGAATTTCCAAAGCCATTGCAGGCAGCCTCACATATACAGAAAAGGAAATACTGACTTACAGGGGTCATTTTGCAGAAAAACAGGTGCAGGAGCTCATTAGCATAACTCATTAGCATAACTTATTTGCATGTGCCACACCCCCTGACATCACCGGAAGTGTGTCAGAAGGGAACACCCACCGCTCAGGCTCCACTGGACTGTTTTGGATTGCTAGCTATTGGGGGGGGAGTGCAGATTTGCCCTCAGAGGAGGGAGAGCTTGTACCTGAATAAAACTTGGTCTTAAAGATGCCACTGGACTGTTTTGGACCGGGGGGGCTGGGGGAAACTCTGCAACTTACCTGGCTTCTTCTTGCTCTGAGGGCTGCTGGGAGCAGGGGGCGGGGCTTGTTGCATGTGCCCACCCCCTGGGCTCTTTACTGCCGGAGCTCCGCTCCTGTGCACTCCTGCAGGAAATGACCCCTGCTGACTTAGTTTAGTTTATTATTACGGTCTTAAGACCAGCATACAATATAAGGAAATACTGACTTTCCGTCAAGGTTTACCTGAAGGATTATGAAGATAAAGCAGAAGAGGTATAGTGTATATTCAAAAGCACTCCAAAAATGCTAAGTACTATTATTAACGTGCATATGCATGAGTGCTGGGGGGGGGGGCGCCTCGGTAATCTCAGAAAATCCTCTCTCTGTGTTCTTCTACAAGGCTATCAGGCATGCGGTCAGGTAATACCTCTTGTATCCCCGCTGTCCTGGCAGAATCATAACGATTATTCTAACGTCTGTTCTGCCTTTTCATTCTTAACTTCTCAGTGGCACGGCTATGTGTCACCTTCTGATGAATAGCTACTTCAGCTCCGACAGCTGGCAGGAAGCATCCGCTTTCACGTGCCGGTGCCTTTGTAAAAGAAGCAGGTGTGTCCAGATTCCCTGGTTCATACTCACGAGAGAGTCCTTAACAGGCATCAAAACACCTACACAGCTGTCAAAGCAAGAACAGTCCAGGCTAGGGTTGCCAGCTCCAGGCTGGGGAATACCCGGTGAATTTTTTGGGGGGTGGAGGTTC